GAAGCCAGGTGGGGGCCCCGAGGTGGGGTGCCAGTCCCTTGGGCAGCTCCTGAAAGATCCTGTTCCATAGAATCAGGCTCTGTATTCCTGCCATTGTTTCTGGGTGCTTTTTACTGACAGCTTCCCCTGAGATGCCCCAAGTGATGCGGAAGACACACACAGGGCCTGGGGATGCTTTATTGGGGACAGGCTCCTGCCACAGGCCAGGGCTCTCAGGCGGAGGGGAGGCCCACTCCTCGTTCCTCCATGTGCCTGGGGCTTTGCTGATAGCCATGGGCTGCATTTTACTTCTTGATTCTTTTGGTCACAGTTTTGGTTGTGCCGGGGGCCCCAGCCAGAGAGGCTTTGGGGGCTGCGGCCGCTGTGGCCTCTTTCCTTGCCTGCAGAGTGCTTTGCTGCCTCCTGGGAGCCAGAGGGCACAGTTTCTTGGTGGTAGAGGAGGCCTGTGGCAAGGAAGCAGGCTCTGGGGATGTTTCTTTCTCTTGCATGGGGGTGATGGAAGGGCTGCTATCCCCAGCCATGGGTGCCCCCGGCAGCGGGGGGAGGTCTGTGAGGGCAGGCCGCGTCTCCACCCTCAGCTGGTGCTCCAGCAGGGCTGTCTGCTGCCTGTGCTCCCGGAGCCTGCTCATTTCCTGCTCCAGCTCCTTGAGGAAGCCTGTGAGGGGTGGGATGGTGGGCAGCGGATAGAGCCCTGGGCTTGGCAGAAGCAAACTCTCCCCTACCACCCCTAGAGGGGAGGAGACAAGGTTGGGAAGGACTGTTCTGGCCCCGGGACCACCTCCCCAGACACCACTGCCCGTCTGAGCTTCTCCCAGACCCTACAGGGAAGCTGCACACTTTGGAAAGCAGGGGTCACCTCGTTCTGAGCAGAATGGGCCTCTCAGCTCTGGGAACTCCTCATCCTCATCACTCAAGGCTGCATCCTCCTCGTCTGAGGTCCAGCGTTCTGCCACAGGCTGCCCGTCCAGGTCTAGGAGCAGTGGCAGGGCTTCTGTCAACAGCTTCCTGCGGGGCAGAAAGAGCAGAGGTGACCCAGGAGGGTACCCCGGGTGTGGAGCTGGGAGGATGTGCAGACACAAGCCGCAGCAACCACACTGGGAGGGGTGGTGTTCTTGAGCTAGAAGATGGGCCTGTGGTCAGGTCAACACAGGAAGCTGCAGTTCCTCCTCACCTGTAGCCATCCTGGTTGGTGCAGCTGTTTCCAGCCAGGTTGAGGATGAGAAGGCTCTTGGGGAATTCATCTGCACACAGCAAAGAGACGGGGGATGAGGTTCGCACCCCCACCTTCCAGTCCAAAGCCACTGCCCCTTTGCACAGCACCCCCCAGGCTCCCTGGAGGATGTGCTGCTGATGCAAGCACAGGGAGGAGGGCAGCGGGGGCACCCCAGGACTTATTCCATGAGCCAGGGCAAGGGCATTCCTACCCAGCTTCAGTGTTTCTATCAGGTTCTCAGAAAGGTCCAGAAACTGGAGGTGTGGGAGGTCACGGAGGTTTTCCACTTGCCTAATTTGGTTTCCTGCCAGAGACAGGAAGCTGTAGGGGAAGGGAGCGGGAGAGACAGCTAAATCACAGAACTGCTGGAGAAAGGGATGGGGCCCCCAGGTGCCCGGGCCCCCCTGGCTCAGCAGCTGGAGGAGTGGGGACACGGGGCCTCCTGGGGTGAGGGAAGCAGAGCTAGGCTTGTGGGGCCCTTGGCTGACCAGCAGCCGGGCTTGGGGACATCTGAGCCAGTTTTCTGGAGTATTTCCAGGTTTCCTCCCCTTCATTCTAGCTCTTTTCCCCTCCCCCAACCCTGCCAGAGCCCTGGCACCATGTACCGTAAAGAGGGGATGCAGGCCAGGTTCTCAATTCGCTGAATCTTGTTCTGCAGGAAGAGACCAAGGTGGGGAAACCAAGGTAAGGTCAGCTGAGTGGGGTCCCTTTAAAGGGACAAAGCCCTAAGACCGTGTCTGCTCTTGAGGCTGGAGACCTGGCCCTTTGGGCATGATCACCCCACTCCTTGAACAAGTTGTGAGTGCCTTGGGATGATCTGCTTTCTCCAAGTTGACGGCTGAGGACATAAACGTGGGGCTGGCTAAACTTGATTTAAGTCCCTTTAAAGGGACAAAGCCCTAAGACCGTGTCTGCTCTTGAGGCTGGAGACCTGGCCCTTTGGGCATGATCACCCCACTCCTTGAACAAGTTGTGAGTGCCTTGGGATGATCTGCTTTCTCCAAGTTGACGGCTGAGGACATAAACGTGGGGCTGGCTAAACTTGATTTAAGTACCCTGATCACCCCACAACCTGGACATCAGAGAAAGGGAACCACGGGGGATCCAGGAAACGGAAAGGCCTTGGTGGTGGACTGCACACCAAAGGGAAGAGCAAACCTGTACTCCTTTGATCTGGCCAGTGTCTGTGGGGGAAACTTGGAGGGATCTGGGTATATTCAACCTGAGGGAGCCTAGAGATTAACTGCCCCCTCTCCCACCCCCCACCAAAAAGCCTTCGAGGTTCTGAAGGATGCAGAGAAATCTTATGGTTCCCTCTTCCTTTCCTTCAAAACAGGAAATGGACTTGAGCTGTATAACATGAGAGATTTAGGACAGACACCATCTAGGACTTCTAGAACAAAAAAAGTGTCTGATAGAAAAACAGTGATTCGAGAGCATGGTCAGGATCTCTTTTGGGTGCACTGGTCTTTCAATTCAGCAGAATTCTGATCTCTTTCGGGTATACTGGTCTTTCAGTTGAACAGAATTCCTAATTCATCTGGAAACCGTTTCAGTGAAGGTCTGCCTGCCTGAACACCAGTAAATGGGCAAGATGACCTGGTTGGCGTCTTTCAGATTAAACAGACATGGCTCACAGGGGATGGAGTCCCCTCCCCAGGGAGAAGGAAGGGCAGGAGGCAGGACATTACCCCTTGCAGATAGAGGCTGTGAAGATTCTGGAGGCCCTCTAAGTTCCTGATAGTGGTGATTCCTTCCCGGTCCAGGCGAACAGTCTGCAGTTCAGCAAGCGTGTGGAACCTGGGCAAATGGGTGCTGTGACGGAGTGCCACTTCTGTGGTCTCTTAGCAGGAAGATGGAGGGGAGGGTGTTTCAAGGAGGGATGGATGGCTCAGTGACTCTGATCAGATGTCAGGGACACCTGCTTGACTCATGAGGTGGGGCCTAGATTGGGAACCTGGGTTGACTTGGAGACCTCAGTTATCTATCAGTAGCACTGGGAAGGATAGGGTGAAAGGGGAGTGAGAGTCCTTGGACTGGGAAACTAGGTGATGGCAGCTTATGGTTCCTGCAGAGGTGGGGGCAGACTTCCTCCAGCCAGCTTGGGTTGGGGAGGCAGGGGGTGGGACAGAGAAGAGATCCTTCCTCACATCCCTTCAGAGTGTTCCATGGAAGGAAAATCACTTGTTCCACCCATCCATTCATTAATCCCGCAACATTTACTGAATGCCCATTAGAGACAAATGAGAGAGTCCCTGCCCATCACTACTAGGGAAGCTGGCCAAACATCTATGACAAGTGGATGACAAATGCATGTGGAGAGGACTAAGGGAGTACATAGACTATACATTGAATCCAGAGGGATTCAGGGAATGCTTCCTGGGGGAGATGACACATAAGCAGGAGTTAGACTGGAAGGAGACGGGGGATGAGAAGGCATTTCAAGCAGAAGGAATAGTCTGTGTGATTGCAGCCTTTTTTGAACTGCAATGTGCCCATGAATCCCTTAGGGGGTCTTGCTAAAGTGTAGATTTTGATTCAGTAAGTGGGCCTGAGATTCTTCATTTCTAACAAGCTCCTAGGTGATGCAGATGCTGCCCACCCACTCCAGCATCAATCTGAGTAGTAAGTGCTAAGCTGTAAGAACATGGGGTCTTAGAGGAGTCACACTTATAGAGAGTGGCAAATAATAAGGTTGAAAAGGCACCAGGCTAAAGTGTTTGGATTTTATTCTGGAGGTGCTAGGAAGTTAAGGAAGGTCCCAACAGGGAGTGTCTGATCAGATTTGTTATTTAAAGGGATCATTTTGGCAACAGTATGAGGTGCCTGGACTGGAGGCAGACAGACTAATTAGGAGTTTGTTGAGAAGTGATGACTTTAGACCCTTATTTAAAGCAACTGAGTGGGCATAGTGAAAAAGAGATAGAATGATTTTTAAGGAGGAAGAATCAGCTGTACATTGCCACTGACTGAATGTGTAGAGTAAATAAAGAGAGGGACAAAAGTAAGTTGACAAATCACTAGAGCTCAGGGGACTGGTCATTCTGTGTGTTTCAACATTCCAGCACCCCTTTCCTCTCTGATGCACTTACATCTTCTCTGACAGATCCTCATCCTCTGGGAAGGCCAAGTTCCGCCTAGTGATGAGGGCTTCAGTAATGCACACGCCACTGACTTCCTCTGGACTCTGGGCAAGTTTAGCTGTGAAAAGATGAGTCCAATTGTTACATTTCCTTGTTCTTGGAGGCCTGACTCTACTGTTAACCAACTGTTCTACCTACCACCCCACCTCCCTACTCACCTCCAGGCATGATCTAAAAGTTGCTGGCTTGCGGAGCGATTGGAACTAAGAGAAGTAGAGCAGCTTGGACAGGCCCTGGGAATGGAAGAACCCAGGGTGGTATGAGGAGACAGAAGCTCAGAGAACTGGGGGACAAAGGAAAGGGCTTGATTCAGAGCTAATTGTTGGGGTGGGGCAGAAGACGAAAGTAAATCGGAGTGGAGGATCTGGAGTTTGAGGGGTATACAGGGGCTTTCCAGGCCGCATACAGGGGGATTGTAGGTAGATAGCGGTGCGGACGGATGGAAAGAGCGGTTCGAGGCGTCGTTGCTAGGAGACCGGACGCCTTATGACGCGCCGGGGAGGGCGGGCTCCCAGGTGCTGGGTTCGGCGCGTGCGGATTGCAGCTCCAGCCGGCGGCTCCTCCCCCCTCTTCCGGTCCTGGGACTACCCACAATCCTCAGCTCTTTCCGTCGCGCTCGTCTCCCGGTCTTTCTTCCGGTGGCGATGGCTGCGGCCGTGGCTGGGATGTTGCGAGGGGGTCTCCTACCCCAGACCGGTAAGGAGCGGCCCAGGTCTTCGCGGCGCGTTCTGGCCGATGCTCTCTTCTCGTCTCTCTCCTCTGCTGCTGGTCCTCTTCCCAAATTTCTGATCCCAGACAGCTCCCGATGACTGTCGATATTAGTTTAATGAGTGATTTTTGAGAACCTTATATGGACCAGGCGCAGTGATAAGTACTTTACATGTATTATTTCGTTTAAACATTAAAGCATCCTAAGAAGATCGCTGGCTTGATCTAATTTCCTGTGATTCCAGATTCTGGTAGTAACAGCAACACAGCAGAAGCGTCGGGAACAACCACAGTACTTATTCTCTATCCCCTAGTCCCCCTGCCTTGTTTAGGGTTTTAACCCATTACCCAGTTTTTTATGCCTCCAGAAATTAAGATCTCAGGCCTTCCGTAGCCACCCTCTGCAAAGAAGATCTCCCCTGTTAAGTCTGTATCGTCACCCTGTTTATTGACCCCTCCACCTCATCACAAACTGTAATTTTGCATTTGTTTGTTTTCTCTATTAGACTTTAAACTCCATCAAGGCAGAACCGTATTCATTCAGCATAGCCAGCAGGTGGCATGGTGCTTGACATTAGTAGGAATGCTGTAGATATTTGTTTAATGAATGATTTTGAGTACCTTATATAGACCAGGCACAGTGATAAGTACATGTGTTTCATTTAAACCATAAAGCATCCTATGAAGAAGGCATTCTCTTCCCCTCTTTATAGGTGAAGAAACTGGTTGAATGGTCAAGGTCACAGCCAGTAAGTGGCAGAAAAAGATTGAAAATTGGCTCCATGTGTGTCAATTATATCAGTAAAACTGCAAAAATTTGGTTTCATCTGATACAGAGCTTGTGTTCTCAACAGTTAGGATTTGTGGCCACTAGCAAGAAAACCTCTCACTTCAGCAAAATCTCCATGCTCTCTGATTATTAGAGCCACCTTCTGACTGAAACTTTCCCTGAGATCCCACCCTCGGCTTGGGGAGTGCTGAAAATGGGAAGCTGCAACCTGAGTCCTTTTGTTGAGAATGAAGGGGTTTCTTTGGCCTTGGCATTTCGAGTGTCTCCCTTGTCTTCTGGGGGGTGCTCTGCAGCAATGCCTGTAAACAAGAAAAGTACAGAGAAGGAAAACTTGTTTGGGAGAAGATATGAGAACAGTATAACTTTTCCCTCCTGCTTCAAATCCTGGGGGAAGGAGTAGTGCTTAGAGCAGTGATTCTCAAACTTCAGCCATCATCAGTATCACCTGGAGGCCATGTTAACACACTGTTCTCTGGGCTCCTCTTCAGAGCTACTGACTCAGGAGCTCTAGGACAGGCCCTGAGAACTTGTTATTTCTAACAAGTTCCTGGGTGATGCTGATGTTGGGTTGGGAGGTGGTGGTAGTGCATACTTTGAGAACCACTGGCTTAAAATTGGCAAATTATGACAGGACTGGTCACTGTCTTTTCTCCATAGTTGTGTTAGAAGCAAGCTATATCTGTTTGTTTACATAGTGACTATGGCTGCTTCCACGATACAGTGGCAGAGTTGAGTAGTAGCGACAAACCATATGGCTCTCAACCATAAAATTTTTGTTTGGTCACTTAAGAAAAAGTTTGTTCAACTCTTTCCTTTAAAAATGTGTTTGAAATACTTTCCCCTTTGTTCCTGTTTTTCCTCATTTCTGTGCATAAAGAAGAGCTGGAGAAGTGGGCTTCTCCAGGATGAAACACATGAGCTAAGGTCACCCATTAAAGAGAAGAAAAGGTTTGGGGATTCAGGCTTTCCAGCAGACAGTTCCTTGTTCCACTTAATGCCAAGGCTAGGTTTGTGAGCTCCGTGCAAAGAGAATGGATTCTTTGTCTCTGGAACAGACTAAGGCTTCCAAGAGGCTACATCTCACCACATGGCCCTTTTTTTCTCCCAGGCCGGCTGCCCACCCACCAGATTATCCGCTATGGCTCCAAAGCTGTTACCCGCCACCGTCGTGTGATGCACTTTGAGCGGCAGAAGCTGATGGCTGTGACTGAGTATATTGCCCCCAAACCTGTTGTCAACCCAAGATGCCTGCCGCCCCCTCCCAGCCCCCCGCAGGAGGTGAGGAGGAGGCTGGGTATGTCGCCTGGTGGTGGGATGGTGGATTAAAGTGATCTTGTCTCTGTGGCTATAATGAAGTAGTGCTCCAGGACATGGTCATCCACATTGTTACTTCCCCACTTTGATCCCAGAGTTCAGATCCTTTAAAATGAAATCTGCCCTTGATTCTCTGTTGGCCTCTTGGACTCAGTGGATTGGACTGGTGTGGGTTTCCTTCATTCTTTTCTCCAAAAATGTGTGCTTGAAACTCTTCACATAGGTGAGGGGAAGAGAGAACATCCCACCAATCTTGAAGCTTCCAGGTTTTCTTAGAGGAACGATACAAAGTTTTTGGTCCTTGAAAAAGGACAGAAAGATCAGTGGAGTATTGCTAACTTGATGGTGGTTCTCAATTCCCCAAGTTGTCAACTTTGAGAAACACTGTCTTGAGAAAATGAAGTCTTGTTCTGTGAAAATATCTCAATTTTGAATCAACACTGCAAAAGAGTAATCTTGTATTTAAATTGATAAAAGAATTCAACATGAGTACAGTGTCAGAGGGCTAATTAAGTGATTTTGACAATATTATTATCAAAATAACATTAGGTGGGTCAGACTGTTGTGCATTTCAAAGGGACTGAGTGTTCTCAGGTTTTAAAAACACTGCTCTAGGCACATGGAACTCTGTTCAATGTTATGTGCCAGCCTGGATGGAAGGGGGGTTTGGGGAAGAGTGGCTACATATACATGTATGGGTGAGTCTCTTCACTCTTCACCTGAAACTACCACAACAGTGTTAATCAGCTGCACTCCAATACAACATAAAAGTTTAACGTTTGAGGGGGAAAAAAATGCTATTCCAGGGGATTTCCTGGCAGTCCAGTGGTTAGAACTCTGCGCTTTAACTGCCAAAGGCTTGAGTTCAGTCCTTGATTGGGGCACTAAGATCCCACAAGCTGCATGATGCCATCAAAAGACGATAGTATAAAATTGTAAAATAATAAAAATACTGCTCTGAAACCTGTAGTTATCAAATGGAAATGAGAGGGTGGAGTGGGAGAACGTGTCTCTGAGAGTCAGGGGCCCGGTTCTCCTTGCTGTGCCCTAATCGTCACTTGGGCATCACTGGGAGCTCCAGCACCCACCCCTGAGGGAGTAAGGAGTACTAGAAGTGACAGCTTATGTCCCCTCGGTCCTCCCTTCTTAACCTCAGGAGACAGGCCTCATCCGGCTCCTCCGTCGGGAGATAGCCGCAGTTTTCCGAGACAACCGAATGATAGCTGTCTGCCAGAACGTGGCTATGAGCGCGGAGGACAAGCTTCTCATGCGGCACCGGCTGCGGAAGCACAAGATCCTGATGAAGGTCTTCCCCAACCAGGTAGGGAGCGGACTCTCATGCCCCACCTTGTTCCCCACCCGCTCCACGCCCATGTCAGACTGCAGCATCTCCCAAGAAGTGGCATCCCCAGCCCCCTTCCATGGCTGCTCTCTAGTCCAGGGCCTGAACTGTGTTAGGGGTTGAGGAGACCTTCATTAGCTTGAGCCCACAGCCTGGTATGGCCTGTGACCAACGTGGGAGACTCTTCCTCTACTCGACCCCAGTAAGCCCTTCTCTTCTGCCGGTCCAGATCCTAAAGCCCTTCCTGGAGGATTCCAAATACCAAAACCTGCTGCCCCTTTTCGTGGGGCACAACTTGCTGCTGGTCAGTGAAGAACCCAAGGTCAAGGAGATGGTGCGCATCTTGAAGAGTGTGCCTTTCCTGCCGCTGCTGGGTGAGCAGCCAGTTGGGGGCGGGCTGAAGTGGAGTGGGTGCTCCTGCAGCCTGGTGTTGCCTTCAGGGCTCGTGTGGGTAAAGCTGTGGCTGTGCTTGGAGGGGACCCCTTCTCACAATGGGGCCTGCCTCTCTCACTCTGGGGAGGGGACGTTCAGACACCTGGAGTCTAGTCAGGGGGTGTTTTGTTTGTTTAGTCACTGAGTCGTGTCTGACTATTTTGAGACCTTATGGACTAGAGCCCACCAGGCTCCTCTGTCTGTGGGAATTCCCAGGCAAGAATACTGGAGTGGGTTGCCATTTCCTCCTCCAGGCGATCTTCCAGACCCAGGGGTTGAACCCAGTCTCCTGCATTAGCGGGTGGATTCTTTACCATTGAGCCACCAGGGAAGTCCAGTAAGGGGGTAGTGGGTGTTGAAAGCCACACAGAAGATACTTAAACAGGCCAAGGGAAGGGTGCTGAGGTTCAGGATTCCTCTGATGCTGAGAAACCCTGAAGGTGCTTCTTTTAGAAAATGCTGATTTCACAGTTATCTGTTGGTGGGGCAGGAATCTGTGGATATAATACAGATAATACAAATTCCACCCCTGCCTCCATCAACACACACTCCACGGTTCTTCAAGGAAGTTTAGGAGGAAACACTGATCTTGTGGGGATTACATAATACATGGAAGGGTTTTCCAGGAAAAGTTAGGAAGGAGAGGAGGGGACTGATCTGAAACATTGTGAGTGGGGTGGGACACAGGTGGAGACTGGACTTGGGGGACGGCTGGGAGGTAGAGAAGAACAATTTGGAGAGCAAATTCCTAGGGTGGGACCATTGTCTTTGAAGAGGAAAATCATGTGTGGGAGCCTCACTGATCCTGTGTTCTTCTAGGTGGCTGCATTGACGACACCATCCTCAGCAGGCAGGGCTTCATCAACTACTCCAAGCTCCCTAGCCTGGCCCTGGCACAGGGGGAGCTGGTGGGAGGGCTCGCCCTGCTCACAACCCGGACCCACTCTCTGCTTCAGCACCACCCCCTCCAGCTGACTGCCCTGCTGGATCAGTTCACCAGACAGCAGCGCGAGGGGGACCCCGTCCTGCCAGCCAGCGCGCAGCCGGATCCTCCCAACCCTGTTCAGGACTCGTAGCCAGCCTCCTGCACCCAGCCTGCCCATAAATACACTCTGCCCTGTTGGCTGTAGGAGACATGGGGAACTTAGGCTGGGGAGTGGCGTTGTTCCCTGGTTTTTACTGACAGTGATCTCTTCCAGTACATGGCCACCCAGAGATGTAGGGGAATTCCATTTCAGAACGGAGGCTTGTAATCAGTATCTTTGTTATTAGTTTTCCTAACTTGGGACCTGATAGGAGCCATCTCTTCCCGTTTTCCAGGTCCAAGGCAGAGAAGCCCTGTCTTCTGTGTTCACTGCGTCTTGCTGTACGTGCCTCCCAGCCTAGCCCCTCGTGGCTCCTTCGTGCCAGAATAGCTCAGCTGAGTAGTTAATTCTGCTGAGAATGGCATCTGTTGAGAGCCTGCTGTGCCAGGCTCGCTGCTAACCACTTTACATGTGCTAGTTCCTGGTGTCTGACATATTATCCCCATTTCACAGAGAGGAAGACTGTGGGGAAAAGAAGTTAAATGGCCTGTGAAAGGTCATGCTGTTAGTAAGAGGCAGCACAGGGACTGACCAGGCTCTTTGCAGCTGTAAAGATGCACACTAGAACTTTCTGGTTAGGGTCCCAAGAGTGCTTTGAGTGTTAATTGTGTACCCTCGGGGTGTGTCATGTCATGGGAAGGTTGGGAGCACTGCTTTATGATAAAGTGAAATGCATTTTACTTAACTGTGTTTTGCTCTTTATAAGCTTATCCTCCCTGTAGACATATTCCAAGGGTCATCTCTGACTTCCCTTCCTAGAACATCTGCCTCTTCCCATGTCCGAGTCTGTCACTTCCCTGTACCTGCTCCCACAAATGACACTGCTTACATGCTTGTCCTTTTGAAGGCAGCTGCCCGCTTTACTAAGTAGCTGACGTGTCTCAGGTGGTTCAAACCAAAAGAGCCGAGGGAGGAAAAACCAGGATTCTGTTTTAACGACCGGGTCTGAGGGCTGTTAGTAGGAGGCCTCATCCAGATCTCAGGGAACTGAAAGTTTCTCATGGAGGATGTTTAACTCGGAGCCCACCCTTGTCCTTGATGGGAGCCCGTTTCAGGTGGACACGGGCAATGCACGGAGGTGGCCGTGGATCATTTCTGGGACTTGGAGCAGTGCCGCAGCTTCCTCGGTCCTGGGCAGACGCTGCTCTGGCAGTGGCGATCTGCTGCAGCTTTTCCTTCCCTGGTCCAGGATCAGCTTCCCACCGTGCCCAGCTCTGTGCCCTTTGCCCAGGGATGCTCAGTCAACATAAAGTGAATTAAAAGGCCCTTGAGTCTCCTGGGTGCCAGAGCTAGTCTGGCCTGTGCTGCCCAGTGCTCCGCCTGACTCCAGAATCCTGCCAGGTGCTAACAGCGCCCTCCTGGGGTGGCAGGAACGGTGCTGAGGTTCTGAATGGAACAGAGCGCACACATCTGAGAGAGATAAGACCCTGAAGGGTAAGCTGAGACCCAGGTGGTGACAGCTGGATGGGAAAGTGGCCCATATCATTTTTGGAGTCAAAGAACCTCAGACTGCACCCTTCACCCGCTGGCGGTGCCTGAGGCCACACCATTCAAAACCCATTTCTTTCTGGAAAGGGGCTGTACTGCACTTAAAGCTGTCAGTCCAGTTCACATCCATTTGAATAAATTCCAGACTTTTCAGCAAGAGCAAGTTTTTAATTAGAATTGAGCAGCTGGACTCTAGCAGAAGGGCAAAGGTGCTCAGAGAGGGAGGCTCAGTTAGCCCTTTACCAGCCAGCTGGTCACTGCCCTGGACCTGCTCCTGATCCAGACTTGGTAGGCTGGGGGTGACTGGTAGGCAGCTACCACCTAGCTGCTTCCGGCCCCCATGTGTCCTGACCTGGAGGTGCATCACCCCCAGTGATAGTCTCACTGTGGCCCTCTTAACCTTGACTGCCCTGCTGACTGTGCCCTTGGCACCATCAGCTGTGTCCCCTCGGGGCATCCCTCCCTTCCTGTCAACCTGATAGCTCTGCTGGCTCCAAATCTAGCCACCTATTTTCAGTTGTAAAACGAGGAGCGGGGGTTAACAAGGAAATGGCCTTGGGTACTAACAGGTCAAGGCCATGCTGGTATGAGTAAATTCTTTACCACTGCTGGCTTGAGGCCAGCAACTCCCCAGTACTCTGTGATCTATCTGGAACTGTGCCCAAGGGGGACTCTGTCCTCACTCCCAAGCCTCCTGGGCACTGGGGCGTCGGCTCAGCCCTGAGTCCTCCGGGGAGCAGGGGGGCAGAGCTGAGCGGCCGCCTGGAGCTCGGCAGGAGGAGGGGCCGAGGAGGGGGAGGTGAGGAGATCCGGCTAGAGGGGAGGCTCCGACGTCTCCTTCCTTCCTGGTTCCTGCTGCAGCTGCCGCCACAGCTCAGCTCTGAGAGCAGGGAGCGGGTGGCTCAGAGACCGTGACTCAGAGGCGGAGTGGTGCTCGGGCCAAGGAGCACTGGCGTCCATGGACCCTGGGGTAAGGGGGCTACCCTGGCATCAGCTGACATTCCCTGAGAGGGCTTCCTCCCACCTGAAGCTGGCGGGTCACTGCTCCGGAGATGAGGGCGGGAATGGAGCTGGAAAGGGGGCACCCACCTGGCTCACCTCGACCTGCGCCCTCCGTAATAGAGTCTGCCCCTCCACCCACAAGCAGTGAGGGGCCAGGATCCCACGGGGCCAGGAAGAGGGTACAGAGATGTCCCAATACTGGAAGAGTTTGGGAACTTCCAATGGCTAAATGCAGGAGTTTCCCCCAGATCAGCCTCTCGTAGCGTGGCATGGACCCCTCTGCCCTGACCTTCCCGCCACCCGCACCCCCCATATCCCTGTCCCTCCTGACCTCAGCTCCTCAGGTGCTTGCTAGCTCCATCGAAAGATGTGAGCTGTTTCCCCGGCCTCAGGCCAACCTTGCCCCTCTAGTCCCCTCCCCCATCTTGCACACACACAGTCTCATGCATTATTGATCTCCCCGTGGAGTCAGGATGGCCAGGACTGGTGCCCAGGGCGCCTGTGGGCACGGCTGAGGGACCAGTATGGACCTCAGCATATGTCTCCATCAGCCTGTCCCCAGCTCTCTCCAGGTGGATGGTGTTTCTCAGGAGCCCCAAGGACGGATGGAAAAGAGGAGGGGGGGGGGGCGGTGGACCGAGGGTCCAAAGTGGGCATCCTAAGAGAATGATTGATGGGAGGCCCAGGGGAAAATGGGGGCTGTCCCAGTGCTCAGTTTCTCCAGGCAGAACCGTGGGAGCCCATGAGCTAGAGGATATGGAGGCCAGTTGGTCAGGCAGCTGGGGGGCTCTGTATGGAGCTGGGGTCGGGGGTTGCGGGGGTGCTCTGTAAAAGGTTGATGGCAGGGGCGTCTGCACTTCTGTGGTGGTGGTAGTGGGGTTGGGATCCTGAGGAAGAGGAGCTGGGGTGAGATCTCGCCTGCCCAGTCCCTGAATCCCTCTGCTCTATTTCGGAGCCTCTTCCTTCACTGCCCGGCTCACCTCTGATTACCCCCAGGGAATCCTCCAGAGAAAGCACCCAGTGTGTCCTAGAGCCAGAGAATGTGTGTGTGCCTAAGGTGGGGCGGAGCAGACTTTTCGAGGTTTTCTCTTGGCACCGGCCTGCCTGCTGCGCGCTCCGCCTCTCTGGGTAGCGGCTGCAGCCGGAGGGTGTGGGCAGGGTGACCGGCCCAGAGTGGGGATGGGCTCGGGATGGGCTTGGCAGGTGAGCGGAAGATGTGCTGGGGCTCTCAAGACTCAGAAGGAGCAGGAGGGGGTGGGGGTGGGGAAGGTGACAGTCAAGTCTGTGCTAATAGGGTCTCTCTCTGCTTCAAGGGCCCCCTCAGGACAAGGTGACGTTCCTCCCCTCTTGCTCTCCGTCCACAGCAGGGAGTGGCCGCTCCCTTCCCCATGGACTTCCAAGAGTGGGACCCTCCCTCCCTGGCTGAGAGCACTCAGTCTGCAAAGCCCAGCGGTGGCCAGCAGGTCTGAGGGTGGGAAGTGGGTGCCGCCAGAGGGCAGGGGGGCTGGCCCTCAGGGGACAGACAGATGTGGTCACCTCACCGCTCTGCCCCCCCACCCCGCCCTTTGTCCTGGACTGCAGACCACCGAGCTGTGGGAGGTGGTGGAGGAGCCTCGGGGCCGGCTGGGGCCAGAGGGTATCATGCCCGAGAGGCAGGAAGGCCACCTGCTCAAGAAGAGGAAGTGGCCTCTGAAGGGCTGGCACAAGGTAGGGCGGCAGGGCAGAGGGAGGGGCCAGATGCAGGGGCCGGAAGGGATGTGTGGGGCCTCTGGGCAGCACAGGCTGTCTGTGTGTGAGGAGACGCTTCCGTGTGGTTGCTCTCCCCCACACCCTTTCCTCTCCGTGCCCCCCACCCTGGTCCTGTTCCCTCTGGGCATCCTCACAGAGATACTTCGTGCTCGAGGATGGGATTCTTCACTACGCGACAACTCGGCAAGATGTGAGTTGGGGCCTCGGCTGCGGGTGTGAGAGGAGGGGGCCCTGGGCAGGCAGGGGGCTTCTGGAATCCCCCAGAGCAAGGCCCGAATCCCAGGTATGCCGTTTTCTGGATGTGGGGTCTTGGGCAAGTTACTTCCCTGGGTCTCCGCTCCTCACTCCTAAGGTGGAGAGAGGGTGAGCACCCACTTGTAGAGTCTTTGCTTGGTGAGGGCTCTCAGAACAGTGCCAGGCTCAAATTAGTGCCCAAGACTGAGGGGCTTCTTCATCCTTGTGCTCGTACCATGCTCAGACAGGAACAAGAAACTAGAGACCTAGACACCCAGGCCCTCTCCAGGAGGTTCATCGTCCTCAGCCCTGCCTGCAGACTCCTGAGGGTGGGAAGTATTCCTCGCTCTGGACTCCCTGGAGTTCTGGTTGTGACGTGACATAGCAGGCTGTCCCGTGCTCAGGAGGACGACTGACATGTCCTGCTGACGCTGTCACTTGAGCCTGAGGGTGAACCTGCTGCCTGACCTTTGAACCTAGCATGACCTCAAGGGGATGGTGGCCCGGTGGCCTCAACTCATCTCCTTTTTCCTCTTTGTTCTCTCCATCCCAGATCACCAAGGGGAAGCTCCATGGCTCCATTGATGTCCGACTGTCGGTCATGTCCATCAACAAAAAGGCCCAGCGCATTGACCTTGACACTGAAGACAACATCTACCACCTCAAGGTGACATCTGTGGGAGGCAGGGGGTGGCTTGCCCTCCCAGCCTGGCAGAGGCCCTGGGTCACAGGAGAGAGAGGCAGAGGCCGAGGGGCCATCTGAGTTTGACCAGAGGGGAGTTCCCACCATGTACAAGAGCCAGCGGCAAACTGGCGCTGTTGGTTCTTGTATGAACAGGCACAGAGGGGGGCCTTTGCACCATCTGTGTGCTGTAGGGAGAGACCCTGCCTGCCTGGGGACCAGAGCCCCAACTACTTGCCCCTAGAAAGCAATCCTTCCCTTCATGCATCCCTCTCATTCTCCATCACCTCTGCAGATCAAGTCCCAGGACCTGTTCCAGAGCTGGGTGGCCCAGCTGCGTGCCCACCGCTCAGCCCAGCACCTGGATGTGCCCCGAAGCCTGCTGCCCAGCACCACCCACCAGAAGGTAAGATGGGCCCCAGGGCAGGACCTGGTCACATGAGGATTCAGGCTGAGACTCAGAGAGGAGGCGCCTTCCTGACCTTTGACTCGCCCCACAGGTTCTCAGTGCCCAGCCTCCGGCAGCGGGTAGTGCCTCGGCTCTGCCAGGGGTTGGACCTCGGGAGAAGGTGTCTTCCTGGCTGAGGGACAGTGATGGGCTGGACCGCTGCTCTCACGGTGAGGGACAGGGACCCCTGGCCCCGCGCCTCCATGGGGAGGGCCCATGCTCTTGCGTCTCGCTGGCATCAGCAGTCACAAGGAGGAGAAAGTGTGACCTCTGTCCCTGCTCTGGGAGGCCCCATCTGGTGGGGGAGACAGCCTCTACCTCTAGCCTGAGCAGGTCTCCTCAGGCCCTACCCCCAGAGCCTCAGGCTCACAGAGATGGCAGGGCTTGTGCTCTAAGCACACAGGGCTGGCACTCATGACACAGAAGACCCCGGATGCCGACGCAGGGAGGGGTCCTGAGAAGGAGTGCCAGGGAAGGGGTGTGTTCTGGCACCAGGTTCCTAGAGTTGGGGGCTGTGATGTTGGCCCGGGAGAGGGAAATGCAGGCCGAGTCGGGAGAGTAAGGGTGAGGGCCCGCTGGCCTGTGTGGAGGCAGCTGAGGTGAACTGTGGTCTGGGGACAGTGCAGACTGGGGTGCGGGTGCTCCATGGAGGCCAAACCGTAGGGTGGGAGCTGGAAGCGGCTGTGGGCTTGTGAGCGGGAGAGGGGAGGCAGTGTCGGGATTCCCCAGGCTGCTGGCGAAGTCTTTGGAGGAGGGAGGGAAGCCGGCCAGCGTTGGCTTCCGGCCTTCCTCATCCATCCTTCCCACAGAGCTCTCGGAGTGTCAGGGCAAGCTCCAGGAGCTACACAGACTCCTCCAGAGCCTGGAGTCCCTGCACCGGATCCCCTCGGCCCCTGTCATCCCCACACACCAGGTGAGGTCCAGACAGAGACAGGGCTCTCTCGCCTCTTGCCGTGTTAATCTCCATCACCTCCCCAGACAGGTCCCCTGTCCCCCTTCCATGCTGCCATTTCCTGGAGAGCCACCGTCTCCCCGTTGCCCCTCCCCACCCTATCCAGACCGCCTCTGGCCTGTCTCTCTGCCCCTTTGGAGCGACCCCTTTCCCCTGTGCCCAGGCGGCTGCCAGGCTGTCCGTTTTCTGCCTCCTCCTCCGTGGCCGTCCGCCTCTCACTTGGCTTTGGGGGTCTTCCCCACCCTGAGACTGAAACTCACCCACCTTGACTTGCCAGGCCTCGGTGACGACGGAGAGACCCAAGAAGGGGAAGCGGACCAGCCGCATGTGGTGCACACAGAGCTTTGCCAAGGACGACACCATCGGGCGGGTGAGGTGGCCCCTGAGACACTGGGTGGGAGGCGCCGAAGGAGGCTGGGCCCTTCCACCCTTCCCCTTCACCCACAGGTGGGTCGTCTCCATGGCTCAGTTCCCAACCTGTCTCGCTACCTGGAGTCCCGAGACCCCTCGGGCCCCCGAGGGCTGCCGCCCCCAGACTATGCCCACCTGCAGCGCAGCTTCTGGGCCCTGGCCCAGAAGGGTGAGTGTGAGCTGGAGGGGCGGCGGGGAGCAGGTGGGGGAGGGCGAGGGGGAGGAAGGGAGTCTGATGCCGGCCCTGCCCCCGCAGTGCACAGCTCGCTCAGCAGCGTCCTGGCCGCCCTCACTGCTGAACGGGACCGACTGAGGGGCCTGCACCAGGGTTCGGAGCCATCCAGGCTGGGGGTGAGCCAGGGACCGGGTGGTCGGTGGGAGGAGCGGCCTGAAGATGGCCAGCCTGGGCAGGCCTGGGGTGGTCGCAGGCCTGGGCCGGGAAGGGGGTTGGTTGACGCAGGCCCTGCCTGACAGGCCTTCAGTGTGTGTGTTGGGGGTGCTTCCCCCATCCCCATCCTGTACCTGCACCCTCACTCTCTCCCTGCAGGTCTCTGAGACCTCGGCCGGCCCGAGGCGCCTCCATTCACTGTCCGTCTCCTCTGACACCACTGCAGATTCCTTCAGCTCCCTCAATCCCGAGGAGGTAGGAGCTGGCTGGGCGGTGGGGCCCTTCTTTCTCAGCAGGAGTGAAGGCAGGGTTTGCTTTCAGAACTGAAACTCCAGCCCCTTTCACAGAACACAGGCAGCAGCCATATCCGGATCATTTCTTAATAGTGTGTAGAGCGCTTTTAAGTCAGGATCTCGTGAGGAAGCTGATTCTTACCCTCAAGTTCACAGATAAGGAAACTGAGCCTCAAAAGATCTAATGATGGGCCCAGGCTCCTGTGCTATGTGGGTTTGAATCTGACTGTACTGCATGCTGGCCTCGTGAACCTGAGTCTCCTAATCTACAGAGTGGGGGTGATAATGGTACCCACCTTGCAGAGTGAGTGTCGGGATTGAGTTGATACATGCCAAGGGCGTGGAGCTGGGCTCAGAGTCAGTGCTGGGAAATGCAGGCAGTTATTATGGAACCCATGTCTCCTCACTCCCAGGCCAGGATCTTTCCCTAGGCCTCGTACCACATGAGGCTCACTCCCCTCTACATCTCCTCCAGCTCTGCACGACTCAGACAGTAAAAGTCCCCAGTCATACTTCCTCTCGAGGGAACTATCAGGCCAGGGGAGCCCGGCCCAACTCTCCCGGCTGGGCCTCGGGCTGACACCAGTCTTGCTCCCACAGCAAGAAGCTCTGTACATGAAGGGGCGAGAGCTGACCCCCCAGCTGTCCCAGAGCAGCGTCCTATCCCTTGCTGACTCCCACACAGAGTTCTTTGATGCCTGTGAGGTTCTCCTCTCTGCCAGCTCTTCTGAGAATGAGGTGAGGGAAGGGGGAGGTTGCCTGTGAGAGGGGAGGGACCCTGGGAATAGAGGGCTGGGGTCCCGGCAGACTAGAATCAGTAGATTCCCAAGTGCTTTCTAATCAGCTCAGCCGCTGTCTCTGGGAACATGGCCAGATCTGCTGGGTTTGTGTGGCCCTGCTTAGAAATCTCTGCTGAGGACCCTTCTTCCAGCTTGATGTGCTCTTTCTTCATGGGTTCTCCTGAAACTGCTGCCTCAGCTCCACCCCCAGCCATCTTTCTGTGACCCCATTTTAGCCTCTGCATTCTCTTGACCCTTGCCTTCCCAACCCTGGATCCCAGGAATCCCTTACTTCCCTCCCTTCATGTCCACCATGTCCCTGAGCTGGGGGCCCTCTCCCTCTCAAGGTGGCAGGGTACACCATGACACCAGGCCTCCTGGGGCAGTGTCTTAGGGTTCAGACCCCCCAAATATGTTCTCTTCCCCTTCCCACCAAAGGGCTAGCTGGGCAGATTCTCTCGCCAGGCCCTGGGTACTGCCCAGCTGCCCGGGGAGGCCTAGTCTGCCCGGCCTGTCATCTGTCCCGGCCCAGGGCTCGGAGGAGGAGGAATCGTGCACCAGTGAAGTCACCACCAGCCTGTCTGAGGAGGTGCTGGACCTCCGGGGAGCCGAGCGCTGTCAGAAAGGTGCCCACCGGGCGAGCAGGAGGGAGGGCTGGAGGTGGGCCCAGAAACGGAATGTGTCCAGGCCCAGGCCCCTTGGGAAGTCGTCCCTTGTAGGACTGGTGGACTGATGGCTTTGGACGTTGACTCCAGGGTGACTTTGGAAGTGAGGAAGGCTCAGCTATGAGCTGGGCTCTAGTGGTGGCTCTGGGGGGTGGGGCTGGCTCAGCTTGGGGCCGCCCTCCACACTGGGCTTCTGAGAAGGCTCATGTGGGCCTCAGTGAGCCAGAAGAGCCCACTTTGCCATCTTTTATTATAGCAGCATGGCTTTGTAGTGTCATTTTACTCCTTGGAGCCTGTTTCCTTGTTTATACAATGGGCTGGATAATCTACATCCTGACCTTGCTTTCTGTGTTTATGAAAGGGAGTAGAAACCAAGGATGGGACTCAGGAAGGGGTTCTGGGGTGCAGGGTTTCCGTTTCCAGCAGTGGGAAGCGTCCTCTGGTTCTTAGCCCTGTGACCACCTGAATCCCCGGGAGCTCATCAAGAATTAGCCCCCAGCCACCTGCCCCGGCTCCTGGTAGTGAGTCAAGCCTGGAGCCTGGGAGTGAGCACACCTCGGGCTGCTGCAGGGGCTTAGGAGGGGCCTCGCTGTGGTGCGCAGCAGAGAGGGACAGGCGGGCTGTGTTCCAGGGGGAGCCGTGGAGCTGCCCCGTCGCCGGTGCCTGCCGGCCGCCAGCGGGCCCGGCACTGACGTGAGCTTGTGGAACATCCTGCGCAACAACATCGGCAAGGACCTGTCCAAGGTGTCGATGCCGGTGCAGCTCAACGAGCCGCTCAACACCCTGCAGCGGCTCTGCGAGGAGCTGGAGTACAGCAGCCTCCTGGACCGGGCCAGCCGCACCGCCGACCCCTGCGAGCGCATGGTGCGCCGGCCCGGCCCCAGCCCCGCCCCGGCTGTTGCCACGCCCCGCGACCCCGCCTCCCAGCCCCGGTGAGGGTGGGGGTGGCTGTGGGGTAGCATCTCCTCTGATCCCCTGGCGCCCCGCCCCCTGCAGGTGTACATCGCAGCCTTCGCGGTGTCCGCCTACTCCTCCACCTACCACCGGGCGGGCTGCAAGCCCTTCAACCCTGTCTTGGGGGAGACCTATGAGTGTGAGCGCCCTGACCGAGGCTTCCGCTTCATCAGTGAGCAGGTGCAGGCCAGGAAGAAGAGGGCTGGCAGGGGAGGATCCAGGCTTCAAGGGGCCAGGGCAGGGGTGAGAACACCCCGCAGACGGGCAGTCAGGAAGGAGGTCCCCACTCCTTGAGGAGATAGACTTGAAACACTTGCATCGTGTTCTGGGTCGAGGAAGCTCACAGAAGGCTATTCAGCTCTAGTGAATGATCTTGAGCTCAGTCTTGAAGGATGGATTGGAGTTGGCCAAGTGTGCAAGGAGGTGGGAGACCAGGCTGTTCCAGGCACTGTGAAGGGATGGATGGGAGGATTTGGGAAGAGTTCAAGACAAGGCTGGAAGACAAGGCAGGACCAAACCTTGAGAAGTTGATTGGTTGATTGGTTGGTTTTTAAATCCTGAAGGCCACAGGGAGTCATGGGAGGGTTTTAAGCAGTAGAGTGACATTCTTAGAATTGCACTTTGTAGAGAACACTCAGGCAGTGGTGGGCGCCAGGGGATGGGGAGAGGCAAGGAGAGCCCTGGAGGGAAGTGAGCGAGAAGGGAGAAAGTTGGGGCTTGTAGGAAAGGAGAGGATGATGGAATTTGGGTGGTGGCCAAGGATGACAGGGACAAGAGACCTGGAACTAGCTGGTCTTCTGGTTCACAGGGGAACTGGGGGTGAAAGTGAGGGGTGTTGGGGGTCTAGGGTCAGAAGCAGCCTCCAGAGAACTTCTTTGCTCCTCAAGGTCTCCCACCACCCCCCCATCTCAGCGTGTCATGCAGAGTCTGAAAACTTCATCTTCTGGCAAGGTGAAGGTTGGAGCTGGGAGTGAAGGGCAGATGGGAAGGGGCCTGGAACACCCTCTGGTCTTACCTCTGCTGTTGCTCTTCCTCCCCCAACCCAACTCCAGACATGAAGTGGAAGAACAAGTTCTGGGGCAAATCCCTGGAGATTGTGCCTGTTGGGACAGTCAACGTGAGCCTGCCCAGGTGAGTGTTCTTAAATGCTGGGCAGCCGGGCCCAGCCCACAGGCCATCCTCCAGGCTGGGATGGGGAGGCATCCTGAAGCTGCTCGGGGTGGGGCAGTGTCTGTGCACTTTACACCCATGTTTACAGCAGTTGTCAGTAAAGAAAGGGGAAAGTCTTAGAGCTGCAAGGGCTCATCAAGGCCATCTGACCAAGAGGCTTTCACAGTTTTTGACCATGCCTCACCTGAGACTTGAGGTGAGTGCACTGTAACATACACACACACACAGAAACCTAAAGTAGTTTTAGGATGAGTCACAAACCATATTGAAGCACCCTCATCTAGCTCATGTTACAGGTGGGGAACTGCAACCGGAGGCCAGTACGAAAGGTGCAGGAGACCCTGGGCTTCAGGGTCAAGAGTCCTGGGTGGGAGTCTTAGTTCTGCCACTTAACAGTTATGCAGCAGCAAAAATACTTGAGTCTGCTCATCTATAAAATAAGAGTAATAAGTAACAGCCAGCAGAAGTGGGTAGTAAACAGGCTGTTGTATGTGATCAGCCCACCATGGTCCCCGGCATCCAAGAGTAGGGACCCTGTTTATGTTTTCACTCCCATGACTTAGGCACGTAGGAGCTTTCTCAGCAAATGGAGATGTGTTAGTTGAGTACTCTCTGGGAAGGCTGCTCTACTTAATAAATATGTCACCCTTCATGGAAGGGCCACGAGCTGGAACCAGGACACCGGGGTTCCTTCCCCAGACCCATGTGACCTGCTCCAATGAGAGAGACATTCCCCAGGTCAGGGTAGCACTGTTCCCCAGGGCCAGCCAGCTGCCCCTCACCTGCCCTGTTCTCTCTCTCACAGGTTTGGGGACCACTTTGAGTGGAATAAGGTGACGTCCTGCATTCACAACATCCTCAGTGGCCAGCGCTGGATCGAGCACTACGGGGAGGTACTCATCCGGAACACACACGACAGCTCCTGCCACTGCAAGCTCACCTTCTGCAAGGTGGGCGGCCCCCTGCCCGCACTCTCCACCCCAGCAGCCCCTCCACGGAGGTTAGGGGACCTCTTCCTAAGCCCCCTGCCCCACCCCCACCACAGGCCAAATACTGGAGCTCCAACATCCACGAGGTACAGGGGGCCGTGTTCAGCCGGAGTGGCCGTGTCCTCCACCGACTCTTTGGAAAGTGGCATGAGGGGCTGTACCGCGGACCCCCGACGGGTGGTCAGTGCATCTGGAAGCCCAGTAAGTGGGGTGCTCGGGGCGGGCTGGGCAGGGGTGAGGGCAGCTGCGCACAGTCCACCTGCCCCAGCCCCCTGCCTTCCCCCTAGACTCAATGCCCCCAAACTATGAGCGAAACTTCGGCTTCACTCAGTTTGCCTTGGAGCTGAATGAGCTGACCACAGAGCTGAAACGGTCCCTGCCTTCCACGGACACACGGCTCCGGCCAGACCAGAGGTCAGTGCCAGGCGGGAGCCACTCTGGAAGCACTGGGCTTCTCCCTTCGATGGGGGTTTCCGCACAGACCCAGGACTGTATCTTTGCTTCTTGGTGTTGCCTCAGGGAGATGGGACCTGTCTGGGGGCAGAACTGGGCAGGGACAGAAGCCTTGGATTTGGGGGCCCCTGAGGGTGGGGCAGTTCCACTGACGGCAGTCTGGGTGCCCAGGTACCTGGAGGAGGGGAACATACAGGCAGCCGAGGCCCAGAAGAGAAGGATCGAGCAGCTTCAGCGAGACAGGCGCAAAGTGATGGAGGAGAACAACATTGTCCACCAGGCCCGCTTCTTCAGGTGCCTCCGTGCCCCCCGTACCACCACACCCTTGTTGCTCCACCTTCCTCTGAACTCAGGGCCACCCCCTGCCCACTAGTCCCTTGCTGCTTTGAGTGGGGCCCGCAGTGTGGGGCAGCATCTCGGGAGCAGCCTCAGTGCTGGACGTTCACCCCCTCCTTCCCTGGCCCCTCTCCCCCAGGCGGCAGACAGACAGCAGCGGGAAGGAGTGGTGGGTGACAAACAACACGTACTGGCGGCTGCGGGCTGAGCCGGGCTACGGGAACCTGGATGGGGCCGTGCTCTGGTAGCCCAGGCCCCGGGGGCAGGAGGCCTTGGTCCTCCCTCCTGCCCCCACGGACACACGGACGAGGCCAGCCTGTCCCACTTGGCTGCCCTGGAGACCGAAGGGGCAGCCCTGGCTCTGGCCCTCTCCCCTCTGCCGGCCAGAGGGGCTTCATCTCAGCCCATCACCCACCTCTTGTTTGGGGTGGGAAGCAGGATTCGTGCTTCCCCAGTCTTGTTGCCCCCAGACAACCGGCATGTAAGACCCTCCTTGCTCTGTCATCCCCCTTCCTTCCCTCCCTGGGGCACCTGGGGGAGTCTCCAGGCCCTCCAAGATCTTCCCCATTTCAGTGCCTTCCTAGGACACAGGGGACCCCTTGATGCTCCCCAGGCTTCCTCGGCCCAGGACTCCGGCCCCAGCTGTGAGGCTGTGAGGTTGGAGTGAGTGAAGGAGAGGGGATGGCATTTTCCCACCCCCGTCCCTCCCACACCCCATCCCCAGCATTTTCTCTCCATGCCCTGGCCCAGGGGGGCTCCCTTTGCTTGGCCCTGGCAGTCTCTCCCATCCTCCCAGATCCCCTTCTCCCAAACCACAAAACGCCTGCAGCCGCCAGCTCCTTCATACCTGGTCCTCAAGTGGTTTCCTTCAGTCTCAGCTCAGCGGATCCCCCCAGAGCAGGCGGGGCAGGAAGGGTACTTGGCTTCTGACCCACCGGGAGTGAGTGAACATGTGTGAGTGTCTGTGTAGAAGTGTGTGTGTGCGTGCACGTGTGTGCCTGTGTACTGCTTGCGGGCGAGCAGGATTCCTCATGTAGGCCGGACGTCCCCCCACCAGCGGGGGGAGGGGGTGTCTGCTGCCGTTGCTGCTCATCTTACCAGTCTGCCTCTGATAAAGGTGAATTGCTATGACATTCCAAGCTCCAATAAAGACTGTCTCAAACTTTGGCCTGTGACCATTCCTTTAAAAACACGTGTGCTCAAGCTCAGGCTTTCCTCAAGGCTCAGCTAGTAAAAAAACCCTGCCTGCTAATGCAGGAGGCACAAGAGACTCAATCCCTTGGTTGGGAAGATCCCCTGGAGAAGGAAATGGCAACCCACTCCAGTATTCTTGCCCGGAGAATTCCATGGACGGAGGAGCCTGGAGCTATAGTCCATGGGGTCACAAAGAGTCAGGCTCCACCTAGTAGGCAGTAGGCAGGCAGGCTCAAGTTCAGTGGAAGTCCATAGCTCCCCACTCACCTGGGCTAAAGGCCCAGTGTCATCTCTCTCCCTAATCCTCACCTCAATTGTGCCTCAGTGGCTCTCAGCTCTGGCCCCTTCCCCAGTGATAGCCAGCTTAGACTGGGCCCTCATCGACTTTCACCTGGACTATAGCAGTATCCTCCAAGTATTCTTGCCTGGAAAATCCCATGTCCTGAGGAGCCTGGTAGGCTACAGTCCATGAGGTCACAAAGAGTCAGACATGACTGAGCGATTTCACTTTCTTTCACTTTCAGAGCCTCCAGTCACTTCCATTTTACTGCTGGCTTTCGGGCCGATATTTTTAAAGAGAAATAAATTTCAAATACATCCATTGCTTCTGAGTGCCTCAGGGAAAACCTAGACTCTTCAACCAGGCAGAAACCTGTGTGGTCCCTGTCCCCCACCCCCAGCACCCTTGGTCAGGTCTGTGCTCACCCTCTCACTCCCTCAGTGAGTTTTCAAGGAAAGGACGCGGTGAGGGGAGGGACTGGAAGGGATGGGAGAACAGGGCAAGATGCATTTCTCCACCCCATCCCCCGCCACCTCCCAAGTTCAACCCCAGTCCTGTCACTCCAGAGTTGTTCTGACCTTGACCAAGTGCTTCACCTTTCTGTTCGGAGACTCCATTCCCTCATTTGGCTTCCTTTGTGTCTTAGAGGAGAACATATGTCCAGGCTCCTGATTTCATTAGTGGTCTCCTAGCCCCTCAGCCCACCCCACTGCCCCCACATGCTCTGCTCTGGTGTGAGGGGTGTCCCGAGGGGAGGTCATGCTTTCTCAGGGGAGCGCAAGAACAGAGGGGTCCCCTGAGCTAAAACAGCCCTTCCAATCCTAGTCCCTTTCTTCTTCCCTCGCCTCCAGCCTCGCCCCCACCCCACCCACCGCCACCCCCTGGGGGGTGTGGTCCACATTTCCACAGTTTATTTACAGAAGGTGCTAAAAGGAACATGTTTGTCCTGACACCATGCACCAGAAATAACCTTAACCCATTCCAGAAAAAGCCAAAGCGTGCACACATTCAGGATCTTTTTAAAACAAGATGTGCTCTCTTCCTCCCCAACCCTCTCTACCCAGAGTCACACACAGCCTGACCGTCCAGCCTATGTTCAACTCCCACGTGTTTTAAGAACTAGAGTTTCAAATAGACCGAATTCCAAAGGTATTTTTCTAATGGAGACAGGAGACTAGCCGCAACTCCTCTGCCCACAGGAACCAGGTCATCTGTGGCTTTTGCCATGGAGACCAGTATCCTCTCCTCCCCAGTGCCAGCTCAACAGCGGGAGGGAAGGTGCTCAGGCCAGTTTTGCTCCTGCCGTGGCATTCCCGCTGGAGGACCCTTGTCTCTCAGAAGCCCTCCGCACCCAGCCAGGGCCTGGTGCGCGGCTGCTGATGGGGGCGCTCAGGCCGGGCTGAGGGGAGCCCGGATTTCTGACTGCAGGCTGTGCTCTGTGGATAGTGTGAAGGGGAGGAAGCAACTGTGGGTACAGAGGGTGGTGGCCACCTCCCAGGCACCACGAAGACAGGCATGGAAGGTGCTCGAGTCTGCTCTGAGGAAGGAAGCCCAGGCCCCCTTCTCCAGCCCTTTCAGTCTAGTCTGAGGATGGATGCAGAGGAGGACTGCTCCCTGTGGGCCTCAGGGCAGCCCAGCCCAGACCCCGGGCCTTGTTCAGAGGATACGGCAGTCCCGGGCAGAGGGGAGCATGTGGGCTCAACGGCCCATACTTTGACTCAGCTTGGGAAAGAGGCAAGGTGGGACACACCAGTTTGTAAAGCCAGGGGCCTGTTTCCCTGGATGAGCAAAGATCAGAGCTTGAACAGCAGAGGAAAACCAGGGCCCAGGGATGGTGGCAGAGGGTGAGGGAGGCAGGCAAGAGCTGCTAGTCTTCAGCTCACTTGCCGTGGACCCTCCAACCCCAAATCGCTCCACCTAGGGAGATTAAAGTTGTCTTTTAAAACTTAACGACTGAAGAAGTCACCCGCGTACCCGTCCAGAAGAGTGAATAAGACATGTCCAGTGGAAAGTGTGTTTCAGACCAGAGGACTGATGTGAACTGATATGCACCCATTCTCTATTTGTTGAAGTTGGTAGAATTTAAGTACAAACTCACGTCCCAGCATTTTGTCTGTTTTTTTTTAGTTGACATTTTGCAGTTTCTTTAAATGTAAAACTTCAACTGTTGTCAAAACTTGAGTTGAAATCAAGTTATCAATTGTCTTGGTTTTTATAGATGAAATTTGTTAATAAAAATTGCAAATCAGTGGTTTAATCTTAAAAAAAAAAAAACGTAACGACTGAGTTGCTGTTGGGGATACCCAGGTAGCAAGGGGCAAAAAAAGTCCAGAAACACTTAAAACTTGCCCCCACACCCCATTCCCTGGATCTTCTGAATAAAGGGTGGTTTGGTGTGTGTGGGTGTGTGTTTGTAGTGAACCGCAGAGGGGCGGGAGCGCTGAACCATGGTTAGGCCAGGAGCCAGTGTCAAAGGTAAACATAGTCGAACTTTAAAGTGGTGAAAACAGATTTTCCTCACTGACTACCAACAGGAGGGGAAAGAGCTGAGCTCCGTTCTGATCTGTGCAGAGGACCCTGGGCGGCTAAGGGAAGCAGGAAGGAGTGGGGAAGGGCAGTGGGGTCTCAAGCAGCTTCAGAGAAGAGAAAACTAGTATTAGGAGTGTCAGCGCGATGAGGCCATGGTGCCCACAAGCGGCAATTATCTCAGGATTCTGTCCTCTGAGCGAGACCAGGAGACACGGCCTCCATCCTTCCTGATGAGTGACTTCAAGAAGTGGTGTTCAGGTTCTGGTGAAAAACACTCTTGTTGGAGGAGGGACAGAGGAAGGAATCAATGACAAGCCCTGTTTAGTAAATGCTCTAAGAAAGGAAGGTCAGGGGCCTGGGTCAGGTGTTGGCTAGAACAAGCAGTGAATTCTGCTGGCAGCGTTGAGCTTTCTCAGACAGGCATCCTGAGGGGGACTGGGGTCACCCTAGGGATGCAGGGCCTGGGTTTGGTCATCTCCTAGTGCAGGTGTGTGGGTGGAGTGGTTATGTGCTGATCTGTAGCTCTCAGGGGGCACTTCACCTTCCCTTCTGGAGGACAGGGTACGGATCTGACCCCCCCCCCAAGCTGGAGGCCCCCCACTCCTCGCTCCCCAACACCATGCAGCCCATGTGGCCATGAAAGGGGCTCTCCCACCTGCTCCACGGCTGGGAGAAGGAGCACCACATCCCGCGGTAGTGGGGATGCCCTCAGGGTCTGACCGACCCCCACTTAGGATGCAAAGGTCCCGGTGCCTCACTCCAAGTCCGCTGGTTTCGGTCTGTCCCCAAAAGGGTACACGGCTCTCCTATCCTCAGCACTCTTATTCTAGTCCCGTTCTCCATAAGCACCTTAAAGACCCTAGGTCACATTTCCGGGGATCCTTTTTAAGGAAAGTTCAGGGGGCCCCATGTGGCTGGTCATTAGTTTAATGATGCTCCCTTCCTGGAAAGGACCTGCTGAACTACTGACTTTCCCCTTCAGAGACCCTCTGGTTCCAGCATGGGCAGAGGAGGAGATGGGGCTTAGCACTGTCCCCCCTGGGGCCCGTCTCTGTGTCCCTTAGGTGGTCAGGGAGGGTGGAGGGATTTCACAGGGCCCCTCACAGGCTGGCTTGAGCTGAGTCTTGCTTACCTCTTCCTCGTTCAGACTTTTCACCCGGCCAACTGACCTAAAAATTCAGGGTCTGATCCACCCTGCTTCTTGCCATCCTCCCCTCACCTGCCTCCTAAGAGCCCATGTAGAGAGGGGTCACTGAGAGCTCTCAAGATCCCCACTACAACAGGGTCAGCTCGGCATGGGGCTCTGGGCAGGGCGGCCCTGGAGGCTGAGAGAATCTTGGCGGTGAAAGTTGAAGTTAATGAGACTATCCATGTCTCATGAACATATGTCATCATGTAGTACAAAATCTTCAGGTTGCTGGAAGATGCTTTCAGGACCTAATGTATTTGGAGGAGTGCTTCCCTATCGTAAATCCAGACTGTTGGCACTATGCCCCATGACGTCAGGATGCTGGGGATGCTGGGCATTGCTGGTTCCTAACAGGAGAGGCCTCTCAGAATGATGGGTGGGCTGGACTATGGCAGAGGCTGTAAGTGGAAGAAGAAATTGGAAGGGTCTGGACAGGAGCTAGAAGGAAAGAGAATGCAGAGAAGAGCTGGCCTCAGAGTCCCTGTATCCAGGATGGAGGCAGTGAGATTCTTCAAGAATCCTCTAGAGGGCGTCTGGGTGTCTTGAAAGGACTGATTCAGGCACATCCCGAGTAGCTGGCAGCACCCACTGTTGGCTCAGAGTATCAGACCCCTACAATTTTCAGTGGCTGGCGCCCAGCTCACAGCACAGACACCATTTATCAGCAGTGCCCTCAACCCCTGTCCACCTTCACTGTTTTTTCTTTTTTAATATTTATTTATTTGGCTGTGTCAGGTCTTAGTTACTGCATGTAAACTCTTAGTTGTAGCATGTGGGATCTAGTTCCCTGAGCAGAGATCTAACCTGAGCTCCCTGCATTAGGAGCATAATCTTAGCCACTGGACCACCAGGGAAGTCCCCACCTTTATTCTTCAGAAAACACTCACGGGGCCAGGAAACCCCCTTTCCTGGGAAACCCGAGTGAAACCCAAGCAGGAAATCTTTCCTGCTTCTGTAGCCCTTAGACCCATTACATACTAGGGCAGGAAACTCTGAATTAGTCTTGTCCCCTAACTTTGAACTTCCAAAGAGAAAGGGTAGAATGCAGAGTAGGAAGAGGGTCACCCCTCAGTCCAGACAAGAGGCGCCCCTGCCAGTGCCCTCAGCTTTGAAAGGTCTGGTCCTGGCTTTCCTCTGACAGCACCCCTCCCACGGGGAAACGGAATTCCTGACCAACTGGCTTCTAGATCACAGCGCAGGGATCTTTCCCAGGCACACCGTGTCCAGGGTTAACTGCCTGCCAGCGTGAGCAGTTTCAACCCATGACAGAAATGGGCGTCTGCCATTGGCCTAGTGCCAGGTCTCCCCTCATTAGTGAGGAGCTCAGAGGAGTCTGGAATTCTAAATAGGAACCTGACCTTTCAGGTCATAATCAAGTTATATTTTGTCAAATTTGGACAATAGAACATATTTTATTTGTTAGCTTGGTTTATAGTATTTAATACACGAGGGGCTTCCCACGTGGCGCTAGTAGTAAAAAACCCACTGGCCAACACAGATGATTCGGGTTCGATCCCTGGGTCAGGAAGATCCCCTGGAGAAGGGCATGGCAACACACTCCAGTATTCTTGCCTGGAGAATCCCATGGACAGAGGACCCCCGGTGGGCTACAGCCCATAGGGTTGCAAAGAGTCAGAGATGACTGAAGCAACTTAGCACACACGCATGTAGGCCTGCATTTGTACTCCTGTCCTGGGCCTGGGAAGACTCCTTGTGTTGTGCTTCTCAAGGGTGTATGCATGGTGTGTGTGTGTGGGGGGGGGTGGTGTGGGGTGTCAAGGGCTGTCATTGTGCCTCCTGGGAAGGATGAGATTGGGGATGAGAAGGAAGCTAGGCCAGTATCAGTTTAGCAGAGAAGTCTTGGCTGCTGTGGGAAGTCCTCTGGCCTAGGACCCTGGAGACAGCTGGAGAAGTGGGAGGTGGGGAGTCCTCCCCACCTCCACCAGCAATACTAGCAAGAGGGGCCCAAGGCAGCCTCTCTCCTCCAAGCTAGGTCATCAGAGGCCAGCACAGTCCCCTTCCACCACCTTCAAGGCATAGAGGGAAGGTCAGGACCCTGGACTTAGAACAAGGCGATCTAAGTTCTGGCTCTGACTCTGCCATTTCTGCCCTTTTCCAATTCTCCTTCTGTAGGGTGGGTATCAGAGATTTCCTGGTGGCTCAGTCGGTAAAGCATCAGCCTGCAATGCAGGAAACCTGGGTTTGACCCCTGGCTTGGGAAGATCCCCTGGAGAAAGAAATGGCAAGCCACTCCAATATCCTTGCCTGGGAAATCCCACGGACAGAGGAGCCTGGTGGGCGACAGTCAATGGGGCCTCAAGAGTCAGACAGGACTTAACAACTAAACCGCCACCAGGGGGGTATAATGATAATGGGCCAGTTTCTCTCCATTTCAAAAGAGATAGTGGGACCCACTGTTCTCTAAGCAGCGGGACTCGGGACAAGGGTGGCTTCAGATGACCTTGACCAGAGTGACCACCAGCTCTGCTGCCTTCTAGTGCAGCACAAGACCTCCTGGGAGAGAAGGAGGCAGAGGTCAAGTGTGGGCACGCAGACACCAGTCGATGCCTTAAGTTTCCCAATACTTTGGCCAAGAAAAGAAGGATACAAAGCATCTTCCCCCAAAGATGTGAGGTTCAAACATTGGTGGAGGGCGAAGGGCGACACCCCCCACTCTATGGGCCCCTCAGCATCAGTCCCTGAGACAGAACACAGCACCCCTGTGTCTGTTAGCCTGACCCCCTCCCCAGTGAAGGAGCCTCGGGCTGTGAGGAGCCCCTGACCCACCTGCATCAAACACTCCAGGCTAAAGTGGTCAGAAAGTCCTGAAAGGGCAACAGGTCCTAGGCTGATGAAGATGAAGGTTAAGGGGGCAGAAATGGGCACCTGCCCCAGACATCACCTTCACTTTATTTTTTTAAAATTTATTTATTTTTTGACTGTTTAAAGGTTATTTTATTAAATATCTTCAGTTCAAGGTTTCATTGTAACAAAGCTATGAAGGGTCTACCAACATTCAGAACAAACACTATTTTTAAATTATTTCTATGTCATCATGCAAAAATTCTGCATCAAATGTTTCCATTTCCTGTTTAAAAGGTGTTGTTGTTGTTGTTTTTAATAGTCTATTGTCTATAGATGCTGACATTAGCCCCAGAAGAGGAGTAAGAATGCTAAGAAGTGGTGCTGGAGCAGCCATATGAAGCTATGGGCCTTAATGAACTCTAAGACCATTTGTCTTCAAGCCAGCAAAACCAAACCCTGTGGTGAAGGTGTCTGCATGCTGGTACTGCAGGCTGCAGGCGGGAGATGGCTGGGACCTGGGGGCTGGGGCATGCAGGAGGTGCTCGGAGGAGCCTGGCTAAATCCAAGCACCAGCACCTGTGAGTCTGCTCTTCTCAGCTGGATCCAAGGTAAACCTGTAGCTTTGTCTCTTCTCCCAGCTCCTGTGCCTCCTTAAGGCAGTCCAGGGAGCTGGGGTCTACCCATCTCTCCCCCAATAGTGCAGACATTTGTGCAGACAGACCTGCACAGTTGTTTGGGGGGAAACCAAGGCCATGACCAATTGCTCCTCCATTATCGTCTCTGCTATCTGCTTAGAATATACATTCTTCCCTCCTGGAATGGAACTCCTTGAGCACAGACAGGGACAATGAAGGTAGGAGCCTTGGCTCTGGACATCTCTTTTGGGTACATGCAGGTGAGACGGGGGTGATGCCCATGCAGATTGTCCAGCAGTAAGTCTATACTTCAGTTGGTCAGTAAAGAAGTCTCTTTATAGAGGATACCTCTTCTTGCCAGAGTAGTCAAGTCAGTCTCAAAGACAGGAAAAAAGATTGGAGTGCAGCAAGGGAAGAGTAAGAAGGGAGGCAGCCCTGAGGGCAGCCTAAATGAATAGAAACAACCATCAACTCAATCCCGCTGCCTCACTCCTCCCATCCCACAGGGGCACTTGGCAAAGAGCCCAGGCCCAGATGAGAGTCAGCACAGGGACCACCACCATAAGAAGGCAAGACAAAGATGGTCCAAGTCAGCACAGAAACAGAACTGCCCAAGGCGGCAGGGGGAGCCCAGTCCAAGGCCTGGCTCTCTCCTTGCTAAGTTATAAGAAAACAAACACAAAGCAAGGCAGCAACCCCTCCCACTTCCCAGCTGCTAGGGTTGGGCCTCAAGATCAAAGCCCATGTGCATTGTGCATCCTATAGAAATGGATGAGTAAGTGAGTGCATGTCAGACTAACATGAGGTTTCTCATCAGCTTCAGAGCAGACATGCTTCTGCAGCACCAATTCTCTTCCCTTCTACGCTAAATGGTAGAGTACAGCAACGTCTGGGCCCTGCTTCTCAGTCCTAAGGCCACTGCTTCTCAGCTGCCTCCACGGCAGGCTGGGAGCTCCGCATTCTCTCCTAAGTAGGTCTGTTGGCCACAGTGTTCTCATAAGCCTCGTTCTAGGCGCGTATACAAACTCCGAAGAAGTCCATTCCGAGAGCTGGGGCAGGCAGGCCATCTCAGAGGCTGCAGTCACATCACACAGCCCCCAGAGCTCTGTCAGAGTTTTGGCCTGGTCCCGAGTCCATGGAGGCCAGAGGCCGAGCTCACCTCTTCAGGGCTGGTGGGTGAGCCCACTGCTTGTGCCAGGATGGGCGTCACACAGACTCCTGCTTTCTTGCCAGCCCAAGGGCTGTTGGTGGTTTTAAAACACATCATGGTATAGATCCTGCTTTTTTTTTAAACAATCTTTTTTTTCTTTTTTTTTCTCTTAAATGTAAAAAACACCTCGGTACAGCAGAGACAGACACGAAGGGCGGGCGGGAGGGCTGCATGCAGGGGCGTGCATTGGCTGCTGCCGCTTTGTAATTTAATTGTTTTAAACCTCAAACAAACAGCCGCTGTCACTCAGGCTCTCCAGAGCCACTGGCTGCGAAGGTTTGACCTCCGGCTGGGATCTCCTCATGCCCCTGTGGCTGAGCTCACTGCAGCGGTGCGGCAGGGGCCCCTGAGCAGTGATAGTGGACATTGAGCCACTTGCCATCCCGGCGATACCAGACCCAGGTCTCCTCCGACTGGCTGGTGCGAGGCCGACCCTGCCCATTGATGTACTGGGTGAGGCGGATGTAGGCAATGCAAGCTGCGTCCTCTCTGATGATGTGGACGTGTGGGTTCAGGATGGTGGTGTGGATGGGCTTGCTGTTCTTGGACAGGACTGTAGTGGGCAGGGCGGGGTGAGATAGGTAGGAGGGCATCAGGCCTGGGGACGGGCGTTTTCCTCCCAACCTGCATTTCCCAAGTCTCACCCTCTCTCCAGTAACCATTCTGGGAGTCTCCAAGTTCCCCCGTACACTCTCCAGAGGCTGGGAAACCCCGTTAGATTAGTTTCAATTATTTAAAAGGAAGAGAAAGGTGGGGAGCAGTGTTAACAGCAGCTAGTATTTTAATTAGACAATGTACTGCGGGTTTTACATGCATGAGCCATATTCCTTGGTCAATATTATTTTCTTCGTTATAAGATAAGGAAATCGTTTCAAGGAGGTTAAGTAATTTGCCCACACAACATTTGAACTCAAGATCTTAACGAAAGACTATGATGATATTTCTACCCCGACAGGTGGGTTTAGATTTCACAAGTGCTGTGTGTGCTCAGTCGCGTCTGACTCTTTTGCAACACTATGGGCTGTAGCAGGCCAGGCTCCTCTGGCCATGGGATTTCTCAGGTAAGAATACTGGAGTGGGTTACCATTTCCTTCTCCACACCTTCACTTTAACCTTCATCTTCACCTGTGGCACCGATTCAGGGTGGCCGGAGTGGGAGGTGGCCGCGGCGCTTGTGTACACCCAGATTCGCAGTAGCCCTGGGGGCCAGAGCCGTGCAACCCGGGTGCAGCTGGCCCCGTGGCCGCGGGGTGGAGCCCGAGGACCGCAGACGCCGGATCTAGGGCGCCGGCCAGGCGGGAGGGAGCGGCGCGCCGAGTCCTCAGGCGCCTCTGCGTTTCCCCGGGGACTGCGGGGCTCGGGGTGCAGGGAAGACCCGGGGACCGCAGAACGGCTGGAGTCTCCGCGCTCTTCCTCCGCGCAGACGATCGCGGGTCCCCTGGTCCAACAGGTTCACCGGGCGCTGCGGGACACCGGACCGCGCCTCCGTCTGCCGCGCTCCCGCTGCAGAGAGGGCAAGGGGCCTGGGGACCCAGTTCTGGACAGTCTCCCCCGACAGCCTGGACCACTCATCCTCGCCATCTCATAGGTATGACATGTGTCCCATGGATGACCATCTCGAAAAGGAAGTCCTGACCGAGGGAAGGACAGAGAAGGAGCTGCGTGGGCTGGAAGAGCCCGCAAGGGGTGAGGACAAGAGGCATGGAGGCGGAGATGCCTGAAGGAAGGATAATTTAGAGACCCTTGTCAGGAGAGGAGGTAGTGACCAAGTTCCCTTTCTAGATTGTTGGGTTTTCCTTGGTTTTTGTTTGTTTGGTTGGTTGGTTGGTTTTTTGCCCCTATCCGCCCGTTAAAAATAATGCACTTTCATCCTTGGTCAGTTAGAAAATACAAAAAAATCTGTCTCCTAAAGCAAAGGAAACAAAAGCAAAAATAAACAAATGGGACCTAATTAAACCTAAAAGCTTTTGCATAGCAAAGGAACCCATCCACAAAAGGAAAAGACAAATGACTGAATGGAAGAAAATATCTGTAAATGAAATGACTGATAAGGAGTTAATATCCAAAATATATAAAAGAGCTCATACAGCTCAATTTCAAAACCAAATAAACTGATTTTAAAATAGGCAGAAAAAGAAAAAAATAAAATAGGCAGAAAAAGATTAAAAAATCGGCAGAAGATGTGAATAGACATTTTTTTTCTGAAGAAGACATACAGATGACCAATATACACATGAAAAGATGCTCAGCATCACAAATCAGCAGGGAAGTGCAGAGCAAAACCACAGTGAGATACCACCTCACACCTGTCAGAAAGGCTATCACCGAAAAGACCACAAATAAATGTTGGTGAGGTTGTTTTCCAAAGTGGCTGCACCAATTTACATTCCCTCAAACAGTGTACAAGGTTGCCTCTTCTCCCCAACCCTTGTAGTTTTATGATAGCCATTTTAATGGGTGTGAGGTTAGCAAATAGTAGTATTTTTGGAGGGGGTTAATTTTGCTCACTGTGATTTGACAGGATTTTGAAGAGGTCAGTTTTTGCCTGAAATATGATGTAAACATTACATGGAAGGAAAGTATGTTTTCAGACACTAGAAAATCATATTGTCAACATTAAAAGGAAAATACTTTCCTGCATATTTTTACATATGAGAAAAATATCAGGTGGAGGAGAGATGGAAGCCTTAAGCATCTTATCTCCAAGCCTCGACTCAGTACAAATCCTTTGGCTCCCAACTTGGGTAAAATCCAAAACCAGAAGAGTCAATGGGTCTCTCATTCAGAACACTGATGATTTAGGATAATGTTGCCAAAACCTGAGGGGTGAAAGGAGGAGAATTTATTTATTTATTTATTTCAGGAGACGGGAAGGCAGCCGAGCACTTGAGATGACTCTGATCTGTCCAGGGTGCTGACAACTCACAAGCCATGCTACCGAACAGGTTGGAAAGATTTGATGCTAATTATGAAATCAGCTCCAGTGGCTTTATGGCTTCCAGTCTCAAGAAGAGTCCAAACTCCTCCCTCACCCTGGTGAAAATAAAGTTTAAGAAATCGTGTCTTAGACCAAATAGACTAGAATCCCAAGGAACTTCTAAGAGAGTTAGAAAGCTAAAAAAGAACTACAACTAAATAATAATTTGTTTAAGAATATATGAATATTGGATTAAAATTTTTTAAGCAAAAAAGTAATAAACTCACGACTCAGGATAATGGTAAACTCTAGGGGAGAATCAGGCATATGGGTAGGGAAGGAGGATATAGATAGATGCAAAGTTATTGGTATTGTTTTGGTTCTTAATTGAGTGTTTGATTCATAGGCATTTATTTTATTATTACACTTTAAGTCCAAGTCATATGCCACATGTATCTTTTTTACATGAACAAAAATGCAATATAAAAGATATGAAGATAAAGAATATTCCTTAAGAGAATCTTGAAAAAAAATTAAGCCTAGAGATGTATTTACCTGGTGCTAAAAGAAATGAAAGCTTTTATTTTTTCATTTCTAACACTATTTTTTACTATCAAAAACATTTAAATCGCTAATTTTACACATTTATATTGAAAGTGTCATTATATACAATTATTGTAGACTAGAATAGAAATATTTCTTTGTCATTCTTATTTTGTGAAACTTTTTGATCCAAATTGCTCCTTTGGTATCATTGTACTTATTATCACTCCTGGGACTGTTTGAGCACTTCTATCTGAGCTACTTGAGGAGAAGCAATGTTTGCATCATATATGGTGTTGTCCGTGGAAATGTTATCCCAAGATACCCACTCACCATTTGTGATCTTCACATTATAACCATGTATTGTATAAATGTTTAATTTTTATTACAAAAGCATTATAAAACAATGTAGAAGGAACATACAATGAACCCCCATATTCTCATCCTTCAGAACTAGCAATTATCAAACTTTTCCCATACTTGCATAATCTGTTCTTCCTATTATTGTTTTAAACTCCAGACTTCACATCTTTTCAATTTTATGAATTTCAATCTGTGTCTTTAATGTATGGTTTGTTATTATTGTTTAGTCACTAAGTCATATCTGGCTCTTTGCAACCCCATGGACTGTAGCCCTCCAGATTCCTCTGTCCATGGGATTTTCCAACAAGAATACTGAAGTGGGTTGCCATTTTCTTCTCCAAGGGATCTTTCCAATCCAGGGATCAAACCTGAGTCTCCTACATTGGCATGCAGATTCTTTACCACTGAACCACCAGGGAAGCCCTTAATGTATGGATGTTTTCTTCAAAACCCCAGTGCCATTATCATGCCTTAAAAAAAATAATAATTCTTTGGTGTCGTGGAACATCTAGTCCATTTTCAAATTTTCCAAGGGTTCCAATTTTTTTTTTTTGCAGTTGGATCATTTGAATCTGAATTCAGTCAAGGTCCACACACTGTACTTGGTGCTGTCTCTTAAGTGTCTTTCCATCTAGAGTAGTACACCTTCTCCTCACCCTTTTACTATTAATATTATGTTGTTGAAGAAAACAGGCCAGTTACCTTGTAGAATACCCCATATTCCAGATCTCTGTGCCTTTGGGATGGCATTTAACTTTTCCTTTATCCTCTGCATTTTCTGTGAACACAAAGTTAGGTCTAAAGGCTTGATTTGATTCAGGTTCAACTTTTCTCTTGGATAAGAACATTTCAGAGGTGGTGCTAAGTCCTGCTCATTGCATGTCCCCAGAAGGCTCATAATGTCAGATTGTTCCATTCTTAGTGGTGCCAATATTGATCTGTGGCTTCAGGAAGTAACAGCTTGAAGCTTTCACTGTAAAGCCGCTCATCAACCTTTCATACAAAAAGAGCCTTATGTGCCTTCTGGGGACATGTGATGTGAACGACTTAGTACCACCTTTGAAATGTTCTTATCCAAGAGAAAAGTTGAACCTGAATCGAATCAAGCCTTTAGACCTAACTTCAAGTTCACAGAAAACAGAGGATAAAGGAAAAGTTAAATGCCATCCCAAAGGCACAGAGAAATCTGGAATATGAGATATTCTACAAAGTAACTGGCCTGGTTTCTTCAACAACATAATTTTAATAGTAGAAAGGTAAGGACAGGGTGGATGGACTACTCTAGATGGAAAGAAACTTCATCAAGTTAACCCGATCCTCTTAATATATGGGTTTCCCTGGTGGCTCAGACAGTAAAGAATCTGCCTACAATGCAGGACACCTGGGTTCACTCCCTGGATAGGGAGGATGCCCGAGAGAAGGGAATGGCAACCCACTCCAGTATTCTTGCCTGGAGAATTCCATGGACAGAGGAGCCTGGCAAACTGCAGCCCACGGGGTCGCGAAGAGTCGGACACAGCTGAGTGACTAACATTTAATATATAGAAAAAATGCAGAAATACAGAAAGGAGAAAATAATCACTCATGTTCCTGCCTCTGAAGGCAATGATAAATGCTATTTTTTAGATCATTTCTTTCCATGTTATGCATTTATTTTTCCTTGTTGTGGTCATATCAATGTACATTTTTATAAAACCACTAAAGAATTTACAGGTGTTATTAAAACTTTATGCACATCAATTTAGTTGCAGCAATGGACTAATTGTTTGACTGTTACTAAAACTTCTGAGCCTGTGTAGTGGGGCTGGCAGTCACTGGGAAAGAGGCTTGATGTCCTCCTAGGCGGGTGGACTGGGCCGTGACATGTAGAACTCTGCCCTGTTGGGGAGCAGGCTCCAGGGCCCTCACTCAGGCTTAGAAGCTTCACTGGCTGCTTTCACCCGCTTGGAGAGAAAAGTGCCCTTTGATTTTGGCATTCTAATTTTAAAGTCCTATCCCATATAGTAAAAGCACAACAAGAAGTGGATATTTGTTACAGCTTTGGTTTTGATGGCAAAGACCTTACTATTCCACCTGGGCCCAAATGGATTAATCCAGCAAAATAGAAATTGAAAGGCTGCTTTTCACATATGTATGAAATGGCTTTTAGTAAAGACGACAGATTGTACATGTGCGCGTGATGTTTCTCTCTGCCAAATCACCACTAAATAAATCAAATTGAATCATTTAGGTAATATTTATTAGTAATTGAAGTATAGTCATTCAGTAAAATTCACCCTTTTAGAAGTACAGTTTCATTTGAAAGTTTTTTCTATGCATTTTTACTTTCTCTCTGCATTTTCAACAAATGCATATTGTTACCTCACACATTGTGCCCTTGGGTCGTCAACTCCTTCCCCTACCCTGTTCCCGGCAACTTCAGATCTGTTTTCTGTCACATAGTTTTGCCTGTTCCAGCATGTCGTATAAACAGAATAATAGTATAATATATATAGCCTTTTGAATTGGATTCTTTCACTTACCATATGCATCTGAGATTCGTGTGGTTGGGTGTATCAATAGTTCATTTCTTTCTATTGATGAGTAGTTTTCCATTGTATGGATGTATCCTAGTTTATCCATTCACCAGTTGAAGGACATTTGAATTATTTCCAGTTCTTGGCAATCATGAATAAAGTCACTATGAATATCCATGTACAGAATTTTGTGTGAACTTAAGTTTTCTTTTCCCTTGGATAGATATAAAGGGGTAGAACTGCTGAGTC